TGAATTAGAATTGTTTATGAATACGATTAGGGTGAGTTTAGTATGAGATAAGTGTGAGCGGAACTTTAGTGAGATCTATGAATTTGGGCCTAAATATTTGAAAAACTTGTTCTGGTCGAATTAAACGTGGAGGTGGTAGAAATGTATACGACCAGTTGAAGATTGCGCGCGCGTGCAAACGGCGTACACAGACAGCCGAAATGGGCGACTGAGCAATAAATCGCAGCTGTTGACAAGTGGCCGACAAATTGCCTAGCAGTGCAGTGCAGCAATGCGGAATTTGATGTGATTCAGGTAATTTTAATTTATTATAGTCAGCTTCTATTAACCAGTCATATTAAAATTGCGAGAGGAAGAAATAAGAGGGATATTTTGTTTACTAATATTATTACACGGCATTTTGAAACGGAACAAAACAAAATTTACCNCGTCCCTCTGGTCATTTTGGAGCCATCTGTAAACCATACTAGGCTCCACCTTTCCAGGGTATTAAACCTTTCCTCCCACTCGCTTTGATCCTCTATCAGGCTTGATACTGACGGTGTCAATATTTACTGGCATGTTTAAAGAGTGGTTTGACAAACAAAAGTAAATTACTAACAACTAAAACAAAATGCAAAACGAAACAAACTGAAACTCGGAACACAACAAGGAGAAGAATACTTACACTGCTGATTTACATCAATTGCTCGAAGTGTCCTCCATTTTGATTAATAACACAAATGAATTTGGTTTTTAAAAGACTGTTCGACATTGGTCAGCATGTTGTAAATTCTTGAAATGCTACTGTAATCCTAACTTTTTTGTGTTTTTTTCAGTATATTTTCACACAATATTGTGTGTGACAAATTTTGTGAAGTAACATGGTTTAGTATAAATCAGTAAGGGCATAATAATTTTTTTTTGCTCACATTCCTAATCTACATCCATGTTCTAACATGACGGTGTTTGTTGATATTTAATTACTGTTGTATTATGTGTATTAGTTGAGTAGTTTTCAATTTTATTTGAAAAAAAGTAGTAACCATGTGCAAAATAGACATGATAAGGTGCAAAGCAACAATTTCCTTAAGAAATTTTAAAATCCTGCTCCATTCATAGACCCACAGAGCAGTGAAAAATTTACTCCTTTTCAAATTATTCACTTGCTCAGGGTACTATTTCTTGTGCCCTTATTATGTAACGTTAGCTTAATTTTATACATTTAAGCGTGTTATTCTGTTTTTCAGTAGTTGTACAAAAGTGCAAACGAATATTGAGAGTAATAAACGATTTACATATAAAATTATTTCTTACATGCACATCTTTTACATGCAATTATAATTTAGTCAGTTTAGGTGCTGTTATAATAGTTTTAATATAATAATAATATTTTTTTGTTGAACACAATCAAAACTGTTGTACAATTTCTAGCAATGATATTTTGTAATTAATGGTAATCCATTTTTAAGTACAAACATGCAAAAGGTGGTTCACTTTGTTATAGTATAATTAAAAAAAAAAATCTTTTTAGGTAGTAAATTGGACAATACCTTAGTGCTTTCATTCGTTGGCCAGACCCGTGTCTTAAGTTTAAATGGTGAAGAAGTAGAAGAAACCGACATAGCCGGTTTTGCCTCAGATCAACAAACATTTTATTGTGGCAATGTTGTACATGAACAAATTATACAAATAACGCCCATTTCTGCCAGGCTTGTTTCCGCACAAAATAAGACCTTATTAGCCGAATGGAAACCGCCTACTGAGAAAAATATTAGTGTCGTGGCTTGTAATACTTCTCAAGTTATTCTTTCCACCGGCTCAGCTTTGTATTACTTAGAAATTCATCCCAATGAATTGATTTTGAAAGGGTAACATATTCTAATTATTTGATTTAATAATTATTATTTGCATATTTTTTTTATAGAAACACTACACTTGATGTTGAGGTTGCCTGTTTGGATATTAGTCCCCTCGGGGATGGCACAGCAACATCAGAATTGGTAGCTGTTGGACTCTGGACAGATATATCAGCACGAATATTACGTTTGCCTGACTTATCAGAAGCTACCAAAGAATTGCTTGGTGGAGGTAAGTGCGTTTGTTAATGAAACAACAATTTCAAACATGTTATTTACTTCCAGAAATAATTCCTCGTTCGGTTCTCATGGCGTGTTTTGAGGGTCACGATTATTTGCTTTGCGCGTTAGGTGACGGTTCGATGTTTTACTTTTCCTTACATAAAGACTCGGGAACGCTGACTGATAAGAAAAAAGTAACATTAGGCACCCAACCGACAGTTTTGAGGACCTTCCGATCATTGAGCACCACAAATGTATTTGCCTGTTCCGACAGGCCAACGGTAATATATTCATCGAACCACAAGTTGGTGTTCTCCAATGTTAATATGAAGGAAGTAAACCACATGTGCTCCTTGAATGCAGAGGCTTATCCTGACAGGTAAATTGCGATATCGTGTATGTATGTATCTGTATTGAATATTTTATATTTATAGCTTAGCTTTGGCGACAGACACTTCAGTGACAATAGGAACAATTGACGAAATTCAAAAATTGCATATAAGAACCGTTCAATTACAAGAGTCGCCAAGGAGGATCACTTACCAAGAACAATCAAAGGTAAATATTTATTTATTTTAATGACTATTTCATTTCTGTGACAAAATGTATAAATCTTAATAATTTTATGCAGGAAACTTTTATGAACATTATTAAGGAGGTTTATCGAGTATGTCTAAAGTCAAATGAGAGTTTCTGTATATTTGCTATTGACTAATGTAGTAAGCCTTTAGATTTGGGAACGTTGCACTTGGCTGGCGCGCTCGGCTCGGTGTTCGCTCGCTCGTGTTCGGTCATTCTGGAACTTTGCAGGTGTAACATATACATCATATGTTACACCTGCGAATTTCAAATAATACGCTACGTCGAGAACCGCGGCGTTGCCGCTATCACGCATATGGAGGTTNTTTTTAGTTATTATTTTATTTGGGTAAATTTAAATGGTAACAATGAATAAACAAAACATCAAGGATTTTATTTTGTGCTTACTTTTGTTCTACACGTTTTACTTTTAAAGATTTCAGTATCTAAAAACGCCAGAAATTTCACTATTTCTCGGCCGGGAATATGGCCACCTTAAAACAAATTTATTTATTTTTTTGTTTATTAGGAAATGCAGGTTTTGACTATGTAGAATGAAATTATTGCTCATAAAAAAATTGGTTAAAAACACGGTTTTCGCCTATAAGTAGAAAATATTTCGCCATGTAATAATTAGATAGTGCCACAAAAAAAAGTTGGTCAGGCCGTGATTTAGACCAGTGTATTTTGTAGTATTTTAATCTGGTGAATCCGAAATAAAATCAGAATTCCCAGATCAGTTCGAATTTTGACCCTAACAACTCATTTAAGGACGTTTATCGGGTACGGAGGTACGTCTAAAAGTCTAACGAGAGTTTCTGTATATTCGCTAGTAACTAAAGTAGTAAGCCTTTAGTTACGTTGCACTTGGCTGGCTTTGTTTGGATGTTTAAGCTTGAAATATACACCATATGTCACACATGCGATTTCAAATAATACGCTACGTCGAGAACCGGGGCGTTGCCGCTATCACGCATATGGACGTTAAGTTAATCAACAACAGCAGTTTGAAGGAGAATTATTATAAATTATGTATCTTACAAGTACCTAATCGATTTCTACGAGCTGTCATACGGTTCCTTAGATATCGGTTTCCTATTTATACAAGTTGCTGTGGAAACTGTTCGTCAATTGTTGCGCATTCTAAGTGGAAAAACCAAAAAAAATCTGCATTCTCATAAGACTACTAAATCGTGGAAAATTATTTTATTAATATCTCGTCTCTTAGGCATCCAAACTAGTCATAATTTTTTTTGAGGATTTTCTTCATATTAATAAGCTTATATTAATTTTTTTTATGAATATTTGTTCGTGAATTCCAAATCAGATAAACCTCCTTAAATATCAGTCCAACTCTTTCTATTAGAATTACACTATTTGCTATATTTTAGTAGATTCAAACTAAATAAAAGTGGTCGTAATTATAGATCTATTAGTTGGTTTTCTACCTTCTAAAAAACAAGTGTAATGGAGAATATCATAATAGTTTTGAATTCAGTATCAAATTGTTTTATTTTCTTTCCTACTAGTTTCGGCTATTATGCCATCTTCAGAGAAGAAGAAAAATGACAATCAGAATTTTCTTCGTAAGCTACTAATAAATAACAATAATTTGATTAAAAATAAAAATATCAGTATATTATAAAAAAACTTTTTAGGGGGGGAAACAATTAAGATGGGTCAAAAAAAAGCATTTTCAAGTTTTTTTTTGTTATGAGAAGTTTTATATTCAATCGTAATGAAATTTTATAGGCTTGTTAAGAGGACATTGAAGTATATAAAAAATGTTTTTCTTTATTTTCCAACAAAATGACGGATATATGTCGGACCCATAGTAATCCGTTGTGTTGATCTTGGACGTCGTTATTTTGATCTGTAAAAGCCCAGAAACAAAAAATATGTAAAAAACAGTTACAATTAGTCAGTAAACTAAAAAAAAGTAAAAAAAAAATCCATAGAAGTTTTTCGATAAATTTAACAATTCTGAAACTTTTCGATAATTTCTTCTGTAATTATTGAGTTTTGCAATATAAAATTCCAAATTAACTAGAAGCTGATGTCATAAAGAAGAAATCCTGCAAGTTTCAGCTAAATCGGTCAAACTGTTTTTAAGTTATCATCAACACAAGCTTAAAAAATGTTGTTTTGAAAAAATCAAATTAAAAGTTTTGACTACCAAAAACACGTCGAGCGACAAAGCTATAATGACCGTTACACATGAATTTCAGCGTCGACGCATGCGTTCCCTCTGTACGTGTATACCGATGCTTATAAATAAATCCGTCCCTGGTTATTTCAAAATAAGACACAATAGACCAAAGGTTTCCGGAGTTGCTAGCACCAAAATACGTGCTATGCTCTCTCTTCGAAAAAGGACATAAATAAATAGGACTTCAAATTCATTTTAAAACTTTACGTGTGTATCCTACGATAAATTTACTTTACTCTTTTTAATTGAAAAAAAAAACTATTTTTTTTACCATCTAATTGTTTGTATCTCCCCTCTTAAGTCAAACAATAAATGTCGCACAACTTTTATTGTTTGTTCTCAATCTGTTACGATGACTTAAAATGTTTTTTATAATGTACTGATATTTTTATATTTGAACAAATTATTATGTTATTTATTAGTTTATGAAGCAATTTCTTTTAAAATGATTATAATTTTTCTTATCCTGTGAAGATAGCATAGTAACCGAAACTAGTAGGAAAGAAAATAGAACAATTTTATACTGAATTAAAAAGGACTCTAATATTCCTCATTACACCTTTATTCAGTATTGCAATAAATTTTCATAACGAAATTTCTCAAAAATATTTTAAACTGTTATTAATAATAACCTTAATATACAGGGTGTCTTTTAATTAGCTGCCAACCCTGAACAGGCCGATTCTATGATCAAAACTAAGTAAAAATGTTCATATGAACATGGGTCCGGAAATGCTTCCTAAGGGCACAGGGACCCATTGAAGAGGGAGGAATGGAAATCATTTTTTTGCAATATCTCTCAATCGCGTTGTGATAAATGAATGAAATTTGGTATACACAGCTAAATTTTGATGAGCAATTTGATGGACTAATCCATTTATTTCCACAAGGTCCATTGGGGTGGGTACGGGGGGGCCCTTGGTACTTTGCGTGTGTAACTTTTTCATCTTTGACTTTTTAACAAATTGGACAGCA